GCCACCGCCCCCAGTGCCCCCACCCCTGTCCCCGCGTGTCCCCGCGTGTGTCACCAGGGGTCGATGACGGCCTCCACCATGGCGGTGAAGAGCAGCACCACGCAGGAGCAGCTGAAGGCGGCGCCGCTCTGCTTCTCCTTCTCCACCGAGTAGCGCGTCTCCATGTCGGGGTCGGTGAAGCGCAGCGACAGCCGGAACGTGCTCTTCCCCTTCAGCCTGGCCGGGGTGGAGGGCCGGGATCAGCCGGGAATTCCCGCCGGGAATTGGCCCCGGGGGGGATCCCCGGGTGTGACGCTCACGCCTGGATGGATTCGCGCTCCAGCAGCGCCTCGTTGAGCAGCCGGTGCAGCTCCTGCTCGTTCTGCGCCGCGCCCGCGACGCGCTCCGCCAGGTCCCGCAGCCGCAGCCGCCGCCGAGGGTTGGGGAAGGACGGGTTGGGGGCCTGGAGGGAGCGGGGACAGCGTGGGGACAGCGTGGGGACAGCGTGGGGACAGATTGGGGACACTGTGGGGGTTGTGGTACCTCTCCGTCGTCGTCATCGAGGTCCAGCGAGGGCTCCGCGTGCTCCGCGTGCTCCGGGCTGAGGCTCCCGTTGCGCTCGGCAGGAGGGGGGGACACGCCGTGGGACGAGGTCAGGGACAGCTTCTGCAGGGGACAGGGCACGGTGGTGGCACCGGTGACACTGAGTGCAGTGTGGGGGAAGTCAGGGACAGCTGCAGGGGACACGGGCACTGGTGGCACTGGTGGCACTGGTGGCACTGGTGGCACTCAGTGTAGGGTGCAGGAGGTCAGGGACAGTTTCTGCAGGGGACAGGGCACGGTGGTGGCAGCGGTGGCACTGAGTGCAGTGTGGGACAAGGTCAGGGACAGCTGCAGGGGACACGGGCACTGGTGGCACTGGTGGCACTCAGTGCAGGGTGCAGGAGGTCAGGGACAGCTTCTGCAGGGGACAGGGCACGGTGGTGGCACCGCTGACACTGGTGGCACCGGTGGCACTGAGTGCAGGGTGCAGTTCTGCAGGGGACACGGGTACCGGTGGCACTGGTGGCACTGAGCACAGTGTGGGACAAGGTCAGGGACAGCTGCAGGGGACAGGGCTGGCACCGGTGGCACCGGTGGCACTGGTGGCACTGCAGTGGCACTGGGATGGCACTGGGATGGCACCGGTAGCAGTGGTGGCAGTGGTGGCACTGGCAGCACTGGTGGCAGTGGTGGCAGTGGTGGCAGTGGTGGCATTGGTGGCACTGGTGGCAGTGGTGGCACTGGGATGGCACTGGGATGGCACTGGTAGCAGTGGTGGCAGTGGTGACACTGGGATGGCAGTGGTGGCAGTGGTGGCAGTGGTGGCAGTGGTGACA